AGGTCATTCTTGAAAGACACAACCGCCACCTCTTGGTTACACTCGGGTATTCGGTTGAACACCTCACTGATTCTCAGAGCCATCAGAGCGTCTACCCTTAGTGGTTGTAGTTTGTTTGTCACGAACCTAGCCACGAACACCTCGGCCAGGTCTTCACACTTCCTTTTGGCAATTTATGAAACCAATCCGATGTAATTTTTCGAATGATGAAGGGAACACCTTGTAAAGCAACGGCAACGGCTCGTTCCCAGTGTACAATGCTATCGAGTTTAGGTATAAACCAACGTGAAAGTTGGGGTCTGACTTACCATCGTATATCTGGAACCTCGGTATACTGAATCTTTTTGGGGCCTCAAATTTGTCCAACTCCACCGAGAATGGTGTTCTCGGCTTAACAGGGGAAGTTGCCTCGTCATTTTATTGCTTCCTCTTGAGGTAATCTCTTAAGTCCTCTTTGGTCTACCCAGGAGCTCGGCTATCTCCTGATTTCAGTCTTTTAGGTGCACTACTCTCAGCTTAATTGTGAGCCCTTTTCAACATTTCTTCATTGGTTACATCAAAGCATAACTCCTGCCTTTGAACCTACCAATGTTCTCTAGGGTCTACTTCCTTGGTGCGTTGTGTCCTTCGAGATTCTTCCCTTTCGACTCTTCTCGCCCGACCTCCCTTGAAGGCCGGTGAGAATGTTTTTCGCTAGTGGTGTGCTGGGGGGCTACTGGGATTGTTTTCTGCCCTCCCTTTTTGGTATTAGCCGTTGGAATCGGCGTGTCCTGCAGTGGGAATGGTGGCTGCATGACGTTGTTTTGCATCATGAAATTGACGACCGATTGCAAGTCTGCCAATTTGTTTTCCATCTCCTTCATCTCTTCGTCCCTCTGTAGGCATCTATCTTTCCATACCTGGAGGTTATCCTCGTTATACTACTCGTTTTGGTTTGATTTCTTCAGTGCGTCGCCCTCCTAGCCGACATCCTTTCCTCCGTGATTCTTATCACGAGTCTCTTCGTTGCAGTTGTCTCCCTCAACGTCTAGGTCAATAGGTCTTCCATTCCCAGTAGGGGTGTCGTCTCCAACCTTCTCTTTTTTGTCCGTCGTTGGCTATGTATTCTCTTTTCTTTCCCACAGACGGCGCCAAATTGTGTGAGTGAATTTCTGACCACACTGCCAACTCATTATTCAACTGGAGAGCACTGGCAGAATAGATGGCGCCTGAATGACCTGTAACAGAAAGAAGAGATTTCGGTGGTGGTTCGTCCACCCGGGGATACTCCGACGATCAAGTTAGTTAAATATCTCCCAAAGATAACCAAAGTGCTTAACTCACTATTCAGAATATAAATTGCGTACCTTCGACCCATTGGGAGTGCCCCTCTTTTATAGCCAACTCAATCCTAGTCCCAATAGAAGCCTAGCTTCAATAGACTTCAGCTCAGTGCTTATCTTGGACTCTTCAATAAATAAAGATAAACTCCCTACGAGCTTTATCCTTATCCAGGCTGAGGTCCTTCATCATTCTAGGACTCTTGTTCCTTATCCGCTTATCCCGGACTCCAATATCTTTGGAGATAACCTCGGCCTAGCCGAGATCACCTTGGCATCACAACCAGGACACGTAGTACCCCGACTGATACGTCGGCATCAACTTGGCCACATGTTGATACTCTGAAAATATATCCCCACAGTAAAATAGTAACAAAAAATTTTGTTTGAAAATGTTGGGAAACAAATTTAAGATTGGAAAAATCACATATAGTCAACAGTCTGTGAGATGGTACAAAATGAAGGTTTTATTTTCTAGTCTAATGAAAAGAGATCAAATACACTTATAATTTTGTAAACTTACCTTACATGCAATTGTGTCTAGCAGAGACTTATCAGCCATGGGATATTTAAATAGACTAGCAACAAATTTCAGTCTCAGAATTCTTTTAACAGCATCATCAATCCTGGCCATCAGTATCTCTTCTGATTCCACCAGAATCAGATACAGATCCATCACTCTCTGCACTGGGCAAACCTACGATGAGAAATCAAGCATTCTCAAATGGTTCTTAGTCGTCTCTCTCTCTCTCTCTCTCTCTCTCTCTCTCTCTCTCTTTCTCTTTCTCTTTCTCTCATACACACACAGGAACAGGAACATAAATAGAGATCAAGAGATGGACATCAATGAGGAACTGAGGGCAGCGAACAAGCAAACATTTCACAACTTCTTCAATCAAGATGTAACTTTATTTCTCTCTCTCTCTCTCTCTCTAAACCTTCTCATCTCTCTCAATCGCTCTCTTTGTAAATTAGGAATGGAAGGACATCTACACACGAGATCAAAAACATGATGCATCACAAGCGCCGTCGATTCATCCTCAACATCTTTCATTTCTTTGCTTACGAGGAAGGTCACTTAGCTTGCAGGTCTAAGGGAGCTCCAGATCCAAATTTTGTTTTTTTTTTTGTTGTGTTGTGTTGTTTGTTTTATTCATTATTATTACGAAAATTTCCTTTTTGTATTGTTGTTGGTGGTTGTTTAAGATCTAGGGTTGATATGGTTGAAGATGAAGATGAAGATTGAACAGATATAGTCAAAAAGGCTCAGATCTGTTCTCAATTTCCTTTTTGTATTATTGTTGGTGGTTTATCTAGACCTAGGGCTGATGTGGTTGATGATGAAAATGAAGATTGAACAGATATGTTCAAAGAGGCTCAGATTTATTCAATTAGAAAGATAAAAATCTGACCAACAATATGCTCTATAAATATATATATGAAAATTTTGTACAGATAAGAACAAATTTCAACATACAAGGGAAATATCCTCTATAAATTTTAACAGATAGGATAAAATTAGCAATTTTAACAGATAGATAATTTTTATAGATAATTGCAACATATAGATAATTTGGTTTGGCTTGATATTTTAACATATAAAAAAAATTGGACAAATATTTGAACATAAAAGGAGAAAAAATTGAACATATAGGCAAAAAAAATTAAACAGATAGAAAATGATTTGAACAGATAATCAATGAAAAGTAAACTTATAAAAAAAGTCAACAGAGATAAAATTAGAAACAAAATATCCTCTAAAATTAATAAAATAATTTCTCACCAAACTATTTGATAAATAGTGAATTTCTCACTAACAAAAAAAAAAATTAACTGGACCTACTACTTTATACAATTGTTAGGATAGACCTGTCAATAATTAATCTTTTTTAAAATTACAAAAAATAATTAATATTTTAAACAAAAAAGTTAAGAAGTGTTTACCCTTACTATTTCTGGTTTGTGATTTGTGTACCCCCACATGACTTTGTGTCATATGGTGCCCATCACCATTTATTGAATTATTTAATCCAGTTTAGGATCATGTGGTATGTGCTTGTAACCTTGCATAGCCCACCGTGGGTCTACACAATTGGACGGCTCGCGTCACTGCAGCCAATAATTTAACTCAATAATATTTTAATATCTGATGGCCTATTTTATTTTATTTTTATTATTTGTGATCGAATAATTGGTTTGATGTCCATTCTTTTTTATTCACTTCTCCAATCCAAATTTAACGAGAATTTTAATGAAAAAAACTTTGATGTAGAGGTGTAAAGTTTATCGATTAATGATGAGCTCTTTAAGGATGAAGAAATTGTGGAAGATATTGAACCTTTTGATTCAATTGCTTGTAATAATGCATTCAATAATTTAACTCGTTTACTTTTTAATATCTAAGATGGGGAATTGACTTGATAGTCTATTTTATTTTTTATTCTTATTTTATTATTTAAAATTACAGAATTGGTTTGATGGTCTACACTATTTTATTTAGGAAAAATTAGTCTAAAATCTCTCTCCCATTTTTAGTAATGAAAGACATCCACAGTATTATTTTTTGATGTCTAAGGTCCCTCCCATCTATCACGGAGAAATTCAGCCCCGTTGATTGTTGTTTCTCTTCTTAGCTTATTTGCCTTTGTTATACCAATCTCACCACTATCTCCCTCTATCCTCTCCCTCTCTCTCTTTCTCTCTCTCTCTCTCTAATGGCCAATTTCAAACCCTAATCTCTTTCTTCTGTATCCCTCCGATCATGAGACTCATTGGCCGCCTTTACTACCCGGACTTCGATGACGGGGATCCCAGCAAGAGTTACCAGGTCCCCATCGCCATCACCTCTGTCATGGTCGCCATCGCACTCTTAGGGACCGTCATCGGTCAGCTAATCTTCAGATACCTCGGCGTTCGTATGGGCCGACGGTGTGTCTACGACCTCGCACTCATGTGCATCGTGCTCAGCTCTATTAAGTGCGAATTCTCTATCTGCACTTCCCCAACCTGTGTATTGGTGAGTCTGGATTTTTTCAGGTTCTTGCTTGGTGTGGGGATTGGAGGGGAACTGAGCATATACCACCACCAATCATGACTTCAACTTCCCAGCTTATTCAAAATAAATAAATAAGTTGCAACAAGAAACTATTTAGACATTTGGAGACATTTATAGAAATTGAATTGGCCATTCTCTTTTCTTAGAATTTCATTGAAATTGTAGACCTTGATGATGCCTTTGAGGTGCTTAACTAGCTCAGAATCCGAAGAAGGCTCGTGAGAATGCTCTGAATCAATTGCTTTGGAAATCAGAGAATTTCTCTGGACTAAAGAATTTCTCTGGACCAAATCAGAGAATTTCTTTGGACCAACCCAATTTTTTCTGAAGCAGAGCACTAGTTCAACCCAGAGAAAATTGAGTCCAAACTAAAGAATTTCTCTGGACCAACCCAATTTTCTCTGAAGTAGAGCATTAGTCCTCATTGTTGTCCAGAGAAATTTGAAATTTTCTCTGTGGTGGTCTAAATAAATTTGGAATTTTCTCTGTAATTTGTCCAGAGAAATTCTCTGGATCGAATTTTCTCTGAATTGAATTTTGTCTGGATTGATGTTGAGGGACCTTAGACATCATGAAAATATTGAGTGTCCTTTATACTATAAAATTATAATACCAGAGACCTTAAAAAAAAAAAAAAACCCTTTTATTTATTTATTATTATCATTTTATTTCTTTACAAGTATGGGAAATATTACTACTATAAATCCTGGAATAAGCCACCATACAATAAGTGAAATGCAAACATACAATGAAGGCTACATACTAAAGCTTAGTACCTCTGACAACTGAGCTACTATGCAAGTTGGTGATAAGAATTTAACAAACACACTCAGAGAAACTAAGGCCTTAGTCTGAAAGCCTCTTGTTATTGCATCTTAACCCAAATCCGAGGGGAAAGAGAGGATCATAAGAGTCCTCCCCAACATGCATTGGCAATTGTTCAACACTTTTAAACCACGTCACTGGAAGTCGTCCTTGGAACTCGTGATCTCCGAAGATGACATCTGTGATTCCACCTCCTTCGCTGCCGGGCAACCAAGCAGCGATCAGACCGTCTATCTTCTCCAAAAGCTCAGGCTTTAGAGTTACGGGCCTTCCAGAGATGAGAATTGCCAATGTGGGAACTCTCTCAGCAACTGAGCTAATGAGTTCAGCTCCGTTAAAGGGAATTATGAGTTCTGGGTCGCCGCCACCATCTTCTACATATGGACATTCACCCACAGCTACAACGGCAAAAGAGAAATCTTGACCGGTAAAGGTGTCTGGCGATGGGTTTTGCTCGTATATCAATTCAGTTTTGTCTCCTACTGCTTCTTTGATGGCATCCAAAATGGTTGTACCTAGATTGTTAATCATCTCGTAAGTCCAAACACTCAGAAAACAAATGAAAATACATATATCATACATAGCAAGTACCAACTAAAACAAACATGCAAATTGGTTAAATATGAGTTTCTTATTCCCAAACAGAGTTCTAGCACAAAACAGGACTGTGGTGTTCAAAATCAGAACTAAAGAACTTTAAGTCATAACAAATGAATTTTATACAAGTAATTGTTTATTTACTTATATTTTTTGTCAGGGAGAGCAAAGCGGAGGATCATGTTGTCTAGTAGCTGTGTGCAAATTGAATAGACTAAACAATACCCAACACATATAAATAACATATAGGCTTTAAGCATGGAAGAGAAATGCATTCTTAAAGAACTTGAAACAGTGAGTTTGTGCTGTTCTTCTCTTCATCCTTTTTCTCCTTTATTTATTTATTTATTTATTTATTTATTTATTTATTTATTCTTCCTAGTAATATATAATAATTTTAATTTTGGGTTTCAGAATAATAATAGTGATCTATGCTGGGTATTACTGCTACAAAACACATACCGATGGTAATTCTGCCACTGGTCCCAGACCAATTAAATGTCCAACCTCCGCACTGATATCCAAGATCATCAGCATGTGTTCCAGCAACAAGAATCTTTTTACAATTCCTATCTAATGGAAGAAATGGTTTCTTTGGGTCCTTTCCATTCTTCAGCAGTACCAGGGACTTGCGAACTGCTTCACGTGCTAGTTCTCTGTGCATCTGAAAAATTATTACAAAGGAAAAACTTTAGAAAATGCCACCTTTAAATTAAGCTTCACTGTTTGTCTTAATATACTCCACTATTAAACTGGAAAGACTAATAAAAAAAATGGATGCAAAAAAAGGAATTAAAATGTTCCTTTTCAAATTCACTAGGCAAAAGCTCTTATTTCTAATTCAAGTAACATAAAATATTAACAAAAAATTCTTTTTGAAAATGTTGGAAAAAAATTAAGACTCTGAGATCATACAAAATGAAAAGTAAAGCCAAACTAATTCAGTGGTTAGAAATGAAGGTTTTGTTTTCTCCTCTAATGAGGAGATCAAATAGACTTATAATTTTGCAAACTTACCTTACAACCAACTGTATCTAGCAGAGACTTATCAGCCATGGGATATTCAAAGAGACCGGCAACAAATTTCACTCGCAGAATTCTTTCAACAGCATCATCAATCCTGGCCATCGGTATCTCTCCTGATTCCACCAGATTCAATATATCCTCCAGAAATAATTCATATTTTAAAGGGACCATCACCTGACAATTTTCTGCGTAAGAAGCATGAATTATACGAAAGAGAGCCCTTAGTTTATGCTTTTAGAACTAAAGTGTTGTCAATACCATATCAATTCCTGCATTGACTGCAGATGAAATGCAATTGCGATAGTTTGAGCCGTGAGGATCAGAAAGCTTGTCAAGTGCTTGCCAGTCTGAAATCACAAAACCCTGCAGCAGAAGTTCGCCCTGAGATTCATCTAGATGAAATGGGTGAAAATAAATAAAGAAAAAATATTCATAATTCAGCCTTATCTATGTTTAGGAACAGTTGTAACTTGTATCTACCTAATAAATCAAACAAATTTGCAGTCTCACAAGATGGCAAATGATCCACTCTCATGTAAAATCAAACAAATTTGCAGTCTCACAAGATGGCAAATGATCCACTCTCATGTATGATGATAAATATTGAAATCTTGTAGCATACTATGACAGAAAAAAATGAAAAAAAGGGCCACTTAAGGATATACTTTTTCCAATGAATATCATTTTAGTTACCTTAAAACCCAGCTTATCTTTCAAAATCTGAGTTAGGAGAAAATGGTGAGAGTGCATTTTGGTTCCATTCCAGCTCGAGAATGATGCCATAACTGTGCAAACTCCTTGAGAAATACAGTCCAGATAAGCTGCCATGTGGATCCTCTCTAAATCATCATATGACGCTAAAGTATTCCCTTCATTTATACCTTTGTCGGTACCTCCATCACCAACGAAATGCTTGGCACATGCAACAACCTTATCTCTGGAATCAAATGAGTCAATCAATGCAAACATCTTCCAAAGGGTTAAGAACAGTAAGCAATTCAACAGCCAACACATAAATCCAGTACAAGATTAGATCCAGAATGTGTCTAGAAAGCAGTGCCATAAGTGGGCACAGAGGCTGGAATGTGCAAAACAATATATTTAATTTATAGATATAAAAGCAGGTGACACAATTTTCAGCCATATTCTGTAGACGATCAAGTAAGCTCCATTAAGTTTTATTTAAAGCACCATTCAACATCAGTGAAAATCCTAAATCTTGATGCCAATGCTTTTTTGCAGTCCCTTCTAGAATGACAATCTTGTTAAGATTCTCGTTGTAGTGATATTGGGGATGGGAAAAAAAGGGGGAAATAGATTGCTTGAATGATAACATTGGATTGAAATTTAACAGGTTAAACTGTAGCAAGTGATTGACTTTTCTCTACCTTCCAGCTAAAAATGGGTAGCCCTTCGGGTGCCCTTCAGGTGGTTGCCCCTGCAAGCCTGATACAATGGTAGTCATCTTTCGAACAATTTCAGTATCTTCACCGTAACACTCATAGCATCGTCCCCATCTGGGGTCTCTGCATACCTGTCAAAATCCAAGAATGACTAATAACTTGATAAACTATAGTTGAAGACAAAAGAAAGGATCACAAGAAAAAAAAAAAATTTAAATAAAGCAAGTAGAAATAATCTCCCTATGCCAACAAAATTGTCTAGCCCTTTAAACTCACCTTAAATCCTAGTTATCAATCCTCTTTCAGAGAATTCAAAGGAGTTCACATTGATCAGACACAATTATGTTGTAATTGTTGATTCAATGTACTTTATTGTATTGTGAATGTGTGATACATTATAATGAAAACAAGCAAGTGTAGAGCTGAAACAAATTAAACACAAAATGATATCAAGAGAAGAGTGATTATCAAAAGTAGAACCACTTACACCAATGCAGGGAGCAAAATTATAGGGAATCCCACTAGCCCTAACTTCAAGAGCCGTCGCAACCCCAATTTTATACGCCAAATCTGTGTCCCTACAGCACACATTTTTCCAGAAATTAGCGTTTCAAACCAACAACACTAATAAAAATTCACTTCCTAATCATCAATGGATACAAACAACAAATTGCATGTGAAAGAAGTAACCTGGTGGCTCCAAGACTAATGTTGTGAGGAAAAATGGTGGCACCATAGACACTGTTGTTGCCATGAACAGCATCGATCCCATAGATCAACGGAATCCCGAGCCGTGACTCAAGTGCTGCCTTCTGAAATCCGTCTACCATGTCCGCCCAATCCGAAGACAGTGCCTTCTCGAACGGTCCACTTCCACCAGCACTCAGTATACTCCCTGCAAAACACACAAATCAGCGGGAAATTATTCAATAATCTTGGAACACCACGTGACCGCACTCCAAGACAGTCACCAATTACTTAGCTCCATATTGTTCCCCATCTCCAACATAAATCGTGAGCCCCTACCCCTCTCTACCAATCAAAACTTTATAGTTATGTTCCGAAAATAATGAATAATCACCCCAAATCAGCACACACACTGCTAAACTCAAACCAGGACTTCCTAAAACCAAACCTGCTATATGATACTATATTAAAGAGTACAACACTGTTACAATCATACATAATAATATACAAATAAAAAAAAATTATACATTCATACATAATGATGATGCTCATAATAACATCTAGTACTATTTTGATTCATAATTTCAAAACACCACCGCCTCATTCATACATACATATGCATCTATCTATCTATATATATATATATATATTTAGAGAGAGAGAGAGAGGACCTATGGAGAGGTCACGGAGGACGGAAGGAGTGGCGACGTCTCGTTCGATCTGAGTCATCTGGCCGAGCTTCTCTTTCAAGGTCATTCGAGAGAGCAAATCCTTGATTCTAGACTCGATTGGTTCTTTGGGGTTCTTGTATACGCAATTCATCATCGTCATCGTCTCTTCTACTTGGCTCATTGTTTTTTTTGGATTTCACTCTCACCCACTGCGACAACACAGTGGACTTCGAGATCAGAGTGTGGAGTGGAGTAGTAAGGAGAGAGAGAGAGAGAGCATCTTGGGGTATGGAAACAGAACATTATATATATAGCGGGAAAAATAAGAGGGAAGTTGTTGAAGTTTAGGTGAAGCTGGCGGTTACAGCTGATATTCCCCTACTGTTTGTTTATTTATTTATCACCACATGACATATACTTATCCATTTTTAGGATTGTGCACGAGTTAATTATTTGATCATTTAATAGTATTATTACGTATCATTTATTATTGAATATCTATTATTTTATTGTTAAGAAATTTAATAAAAAAAATATTATATTTTATTATTTTAATTCATTAAGGGCTGGTTTGACAACCTTAAAAAAAATTAAAAAATTATCTAAAAAGTTAAAAATTTATAACTATTCATCAAAAAAAAATATAAAAAAATTAATATACAAATATTAATACATATAAAGTAGATGGCCCAAGATTGGTACTGACGTGATGTAAAACTTGGTGATAGAGACCAAAAAAAAAAATCTGTGTATATGCACATAATTAGATGGTAAAGTTGGGCCCATGGGCCCCCCATGGGTCCCATTTTCTAATCTGAACCATTCAATATGTAGAACTCATCTAGTACTGCATGCCTGTAAAAAATCACATTTATCGGATATAGATAACTACATGATCCAATCAGTTTTGTATTAAAATTGATGGTATTATAGTTAACAGATAACAAAAAAAACTAACTGTAGACGTCCCCCGAACGCCCCGGGAGGGTTAGCTCCCGTTCTGTTCATTTGGGGTTACTACAGTTCGGACTCTTGAAATGTCACGGTTCCTAATCTGAACCAAAGAGTCCAAATCCGGCAAATCATTTTGAGAAACTGATTTTTGAAAAAGTAGTGCCAAACATGGACTGCTTTGCCAGATATAGAGTCGCCACCTAAATATTTTATTTTGGGAAATTTAGGAAACCCTGACTCGGTGCCAAAAGGCCATCAGGAAAAAAAAACCGAGAAAACCGAGTCTGGTTCGCAAACCGAGGCAGGGCACAGAAGAGGGTTCGGAAGTCCGGAAGCAGGGCTCGCAGCCGCGACTTTGAGACTTCTGAACAAGCACAACATGCAATATCACCAAGTGCTCAATCGGTGACGTCTGAGTCTCAAGGTCGGTCAAAAATGGGGTGTCTACACTAACACGATCAGATAGCTATCGATATCTAATTAACGTAATTTTTTACGAGCATATAGTACTCGACGAGTTCTACACATTGAATGGTTCCAATTAGAAAAACGGAACCCTTGGTGGACCCCCACGGGCCAAACAACACCATCTAATCAAAGCCCGAGAAGGAGACAATATTTTCTCATCTACTCACCTGGCAGACTCTACTGCCAATCCGTACGGCCTCCTACTATATCTTCTCCTACATACTTATTTATACAATTTTTTAATACATATTTTTTCAAAAAAAATCAAAAAATTAATCCAAATAAAAAGTACACTTATTTAAAATACCCCAACCAATCCCTACTACTAATCGCGTCACAATAAGAACAAAAATATATATACTTTTCTACTTAAAACACCCCTCCCTCACTAATTTCACTTTCACTTGGCTATCACCGGCGTGGATTTACATATTGAGAAATTTTGGTGGCACACCACCCAATAATTTAACTTATTCATTTCGTTTTGTTTCTAACTTATTCAAGTTTCCAAATTATATTTTATTTGCTTGGAATGATTAACAGGACATTTTGATAATTTTTGTAAGAGACGTTGTCTTAGATCTGCAAGAGAATAGAGAGGATTTTTCTATAAGAAAAAAAAAAAACATCTAAGATGAAGGGATTGTTTTGGTGGTGAAGGTCATATCCATCGACTTGATGTCCATGGTTTCAAATCATGTTGCTTCATTCTCGAGTTTTCTTCTCTTTATTTATTTATTTATTTATTTATTATTTTTAAAAATATAAATTGAAGTTAGGATATAGGGGCAAAGGTTGGTGGATTTCAGTGTTTGACTTTGTAAAGCTGAGTGAGAGAGAGAACTATAATTTGAGTTTAGATTTTGAGTTTTCAAGGATTTGAAATAATTTAAATAAATATATTTTAAATAAGTCGAGGGGTTGTGGCATTGTGGTAAGACTTTGGAATTTAAGCCCCAAGGTCACAAGTTCAATTTCTCTCTTGGGCCAACTCCCTGGGCGAAGCACTGTTGGTTAAGAGGTTGGACCTCAAGGATGCCTAATCAGCTACTTGGTGTGGGTTTAATACTCCCCCACTGTGCGAGTCCTGACTTAATCGAAACTTCCGACCTTAGGAGGTCAGGACAAGTTTCCAGGTTATAGTCTCTTACTCGGAACGGACAACAGGACACTCTGGTGATCTCCTCATGGGGCGCTGCCTCTCGGAACGAACAACAAGACACCCTGGTGATCTCCTCATGGGGCGCTGCCTTGACGAACAACAGGACACTCTGGTGATCTCCTCACGGGGCGCTGCCTCTCGGAACGGACAACAGGACACCATGGTGATCTCCTCGTGGGGCGCTGCCTTGGACCTGCGGGAGGATAGGAGGATTTTCCTGTAACAAAAAATATATATATATTTTTTTTAAAAAAAAAAATTATTAAAAAAATATATAAAAAAATAAAAAAGTGATATGATCCAAATAAATATATTTATTTAAATAAGTATACTTATTTAATTTATATCAAATAGTTCAAATTTCAAAAACTCAAAATCCAAACCTTATATCCGTTTGGGAAGGGCTAATTTGGCTATTTTAGCCACAAAAGACAAAATAGACTATTTTAGCCACAAAAAAAAAACACATCACATCCAACCCATAATCATTACACTCTTCTCTCACCAAAAAAGTCAAAAAAAGCCAAAAAGTCAAAAAACTCTTCCCAAACCAGACTTTTTAGCCCAGGCTAAAATAACCAAAAAAATCAAAAAGTCAAAAAGCCAACCTACTTCCCAAATCAACCAAACTTTACAAGTTATGAAACCGAGTCGAGCCAAGTTGAGCTTTATTGACTTCGAGTTCGGCTCGTTTACTTATCGAACTCGTTTATTGAGCTCGAGCTCGGCTCGGCTCGGCTCGTTAATTTTAATGAAACTCGAGCTCGGCTCGACTTGGCTCGATAAATTTTTTTTAATATTATTTATATTATTTAATATATAAAAAATGTATTTATATATATTTATATATTATTTAATATATAAATAATATATTTATTATATAATTTAAATAAAAGTAAACAAGTCGAGAAACAAGTCGAGTTTATGCAAGCTCGAGCTCGGCTTATTTACTAAACGAGCCTAATAGTCGAGCTCGAGCTCGGCTCATTTGCTAAACAAACCGAGCCGAGCCGAGCCCTTAACGAGCCGAGTCGAGCTTGTTTATAAACAGCTCGGTTCATTTGCAGTCCTAGGGGCACTGGGAAATTTTGAAGAAAAAAAAGTGTTACAAGACTTCAAACTCTGTACTTTGGCCTATTTTGAGAAGTGAGTTATAATTCACTTCTCAAATTATAACTCATTTTCTCTCTCACAAAAAAACTGTTTATAAGCTGTTTATAAGTAGCTTTTCATCAAAAAACTGATTATAATCATCTTTCCAAAATAGCCTTTATATAATAATATAGATATACAATTATTTACCTATAACCTAACCTTTTGCTCTAATGAATATTTTCGAGCAGTAGTTTAAACATGGGAATTTTAAGAGTGAGAGATCAAACACTTGGAAAAAGTAGCTTAGTGCATCTAGAAATAGAAAATAGAAAATAGAAAATAGAAAGAAATAATTAGTAATAGCTTAACCCAGGGTCCATAAATCAAATAATGCTAGGTTGCTTAACTTGTTTTGGCCTATGAATTAATTGAGGCGTGGTCAAGTTAGTAAGGTGTGTTGGGCATGGTTGGATTTGGTACAAGTACTAACACATCTTAATTTTTAAGAAGTTATTAGACACAAGTCATGTGATATTTCATGCTACTCATAAATTAAAATGTATTTGGTTGGAAGATTTGGAGAGGGATTTTGAAAGAGAAAGGGAAAATGTGTGTAAAATTAGGTGAAATGTAAGTATATTTTATTCACATCTCACCTAACTTTTCCCTTTCCCTTTCCAAATCCCTCCTCAAATCCTCCAACCAAATACAGCATAATATTATCATTACATTAGATTCTATTTGTGAGTCTCTACCTTGTAAATAGGAGAGTCCACTTTATTTAATACGTGTTAAATAATTTTTAATTTTTTTTACTAAAATATGAGATGACAGAAACTAACATGTATGAGATGAATTTTTAATTTTTTATGAAAATATATACAAAAAAATAAAGTGAATGAAAAAAAATATTTGACTTTTGATGTATATTGACTATTTTAGTGACTTTAACTTTTAAATAAAAATATTTACTTTCTAAACAAGGCCTAAGTAATGTGCAACAACATGTGTGAACACAAGTCATTGAATCGTTTCAACGACGTCAATAAAAATATAGCTGAAAAATGTAGCTAGTTCGACAAAATTGAACTATAACTACTTTGAATAAGAAACACAAATCTTTCCACAAAGTGGAAATGGTAATTTTGCAAAAATAAAACACTTTTAAAGTGTTTTCTTTGTCATATTGTGATATCGTTTATCAAGAAAAACTTATCTTTTCTTTTATTAAGAATGCCTATAATATTGTTAAATATTAATAACTGCTAACAATTTCTAATTCAAACCATCTTCCTCATTCCTTAAATAATAAAAAATAATTAGATACAAAATTGCAAACGCATTGTGATTGCACCAACTGCTAATATATATTGTGTATATATAGCACAAAGTCCGTGGGTGTTGACATATAAGAGAGAAATTTGACTAACCTGTTGCATTAGAGAGAAGAAGGTTGAACAATGATGCAGCAGCAAATCATGTTCATGCTAACAGCAATCGAAAACTAGCAGGTCAAACATCCACTGGGTATATTTCACATGCAAATCAACCACCCCAAGGGACTCCAAGGATATTGCACATACACATCCAATTACACAATTACCATGAAATCTGTATGATATTTTTCTAAATTTCAAATGCAATTTGCAAGGTCTTCCCATTTTACAAGGAGAAATAATCACCAAATTTTTTGGCAGTGCACAATGCTTATTTCACATTTAGTTTTACAAAGCTAATCAGTTCAAATGTCCCTCTCTGTTGCTTGTCAACCCAAAACCCAAGCGAAACAATGGTTCAGATGAGTTCTTCCCAGCTTCTTCAACCCTTTTAAACCATGTCACAGGAAGTTTTCCTTGGAACTCGTAATCTCCAAAGATAACATCTGTTATTCCATCTCCTTCGCTGCCGGGCAACCAAGCAGCAACCAGAGCATCCACCTTTTCCAAAAGCCACGGCTCTAAAACTAAGGGCCTACCAGAGATCAGAATCACCAATGTGGGAACTTTGTCAGCAACTGAGCTAATCAATTCAGCTCCATTAAAAGGGATTACGAGCTCTGAATTGTCACCCATGGTTTCGGCATATGGACCCTCACCCACTATTACAATGGCGAAAGAGAAATCTTGATTTGCAAAGGTGTCTTGTGATGGATGTTGCTCATATATCAAATCTGTTGTCTCTCCCACTGCTTCCATGATAGCTTCCAAAATGGTCGTGCCTAAAAATGTGAATCATCACATCAGTCTAATGTTAATAATATCCATCTAATACACATTAAAAAGTCGAAAGATTTTGTCAATTAAGTTTCTGCCTCCAACAGAGTTCAAGTAAAAAAATTAGACTATCGTGTCAAAACACAGAATGGCCATTTGGTTGTCCCAAAAATGTGAATTGGACCATCTCAGAAGTTACACATTCACATATTAGATATGTTTGGCTATTCAAATGAAACAACTCAAAAACTTACAAATTATAGTTTCTTTATGAAAATTTAAAATTGTTCATCATGCTTTTTGAACATAGTTACCTTATCTAAGATCAGAAGATTTAAAATCTGTTCTATTGGAATGCGCACACAAAATTTTGAACTAACAGATCTATATTTTCACAAATTTTTGAATTAGTCAATTCCAAATGGAATAATCCAATTCCAGCAGCCAAAAAAGGTCCCTAACTGTGAACTTCTGTAGTCCTTCACATATGCAAGAGAAGTTGGGTCAAACCACCTTGAAATAAATAATTAACATCAAATACTTGTCAACTATTGCATGCCACAATTTTCTACAATCCACGCATTTACGTAGGCACGTAAATTAACATTTATGTGTCAACGTGTATGCATGACGAGAGTTTGTCTTTTTATTACCATCATCATCACCACCACCATTAGCTGAAAACCATGCCAATAATCAATTATTTTCTAAATTTTGTAAATCAAGAATTTGTTAGTAGTGATTCTGTACTGGGCATATTGCCACATATTACATACCAATAGTAATTCTGCCACTGGCTCCCATCCAAGTAGCTGTCCACCCACCACACTGATATCCAAGATTATCAGCATGTGTTCCAGCAACAAGAATTCTTTCAGCATTCCTGTTTAAAGGAAGAAACGGTTTCTTTGGATCCTTTCCATTCTTTAACAGAACTAAGGACTTGCGAACTGCCTCTCGCGCCAGATCTCTATGCGGCTGAAGCAATATCATAACGATAAGCATGTCACTTATAATAATTGACACATATGACTAGAGTAAATTGGCTGTCCAAAACAATGTACAAGCATGGACTACTTGAGTAGTAAGTGATAAAGGACACTAGAAGTACAACAACCAATTATGAATTTGTTATTATGTGTAAAGATTTCTGAAATGAAAGTGTTAGTTCAGCTTTGGCAGAAATAAACCTTCTCTTGTTCCTATCAAAGTATTTAGTATGGCCAATGAGTAATGTATCAAATTTTGCAAGCTTACCTTGCAACCAACTCTATCAAGCAAAGATCTATCAGCCAAGGGATATTCAAAAAGTCCAGCAACAAATTTCACTCTCAGGATTCGTTCAACAGCATCATCAATCCTGGCAATAGGAATCTTCCCTGATTCCACCAGATATGTCAAATCCTCCAGAAATAATTCATACCTAAAAGGCACCATCACCTGCAAATATTGTTAGTGAGAGAAATAGAGGCATTAATTATGTGTAGAAAGGAACCTTCTGGTTTGGGCACTGGGGAACTAGAGTTTAATCTCTACCATGTCAATTCCAGCATTGATGGCTAACAAGACACACTTTCGATAGTTGGACCCAAAAGGATAGGAAAGTCGGTCAAGTGCTTGGGAGTCAGAAATGACAAAACCCTGCAGCAGAATGTTGCCTTGAGATTTATTTGTTTGTAATGCAGTTTGGGGTTACATTCATATAAAAAACACAAGACGTGAAATAGATGCTGGAGCTACCACTAGTACAATGTCTTGATGTATTTACTGAAAGCAAATATGATAAATGAAAACCAGAACTCAACTATATGATTCCAAGTTTTGGACAACTTGTAAGATGCACTAATAAGGAAAACTGTAGATAAAAATTGGCAAAAATGAAACCCAGATATAAAGTTAGATATTTGAAAAATTACACCAAGTCAAAATGGGAAACCTATTTCAGGAAGAAAAAAAAACGGCACTGTATGCTTTCCGAATAATATATTTCAAGTTCTAATACCTTAAATCCCAGCTTTTCTTTCAAAACTTGTGTAATGAGAAAATGATCAGAGTGCAGTTTCCTTCCATTCCAGCTAGAGTAGGATGCCATAACAGTGCAAACTCCCTGAGAAATACAGTCCAGATAAGGCGCCATGTGGATTCTCTCTAACTCATCATATGATGCTATTGTATTCCCCTCATTAATACCTTTGTCAGTACCTCCATCTCCGACAAAATGCTTGGCACATGCAACAACATTCTCTCTGAAATTAAATAAGTGTATCAATGTTAACAATCTTTGATGGACAAACAAGCATATCAACTTCCAGTATAAACATTGAATGCATGAGTACAGAAGCTTGAATGCAGAAAACAAAATTTTCCAATATGATCAACATCCAAGAACCAGCCAATATTGATGTGATGCCACCTAATTAACTTTCATTCAAGCACTGAAAGGTAAAATAAGCTCTAAACAATATTAATTAGCATCAATGCAACAATGATAATTTAAAAAAATTAATATCAATTCTTCTCCTTTGCTCCCTTAATTAGTAGGCTAAGAAGCACGGACACGGATACAGATGCGGATATAGGAAAAGTGATTTCAAAAAAATAGGGATACGGACACAGCAGGGACACGACAATAAAATATGTTTTCATATATTTTTATTTGCTATCTAGATTAATATTACATCCACAAACAATTAATATTAACAAAAACTAACTCTAATTATATTTTTTTAATTTAAAAAACTATTTTTAAATTAACATTTACCATTTATATATTTTTTATGGATGATCCATTAAGTTTTTAAATTTAAGAAAAAAATAATAAACATTCAACATTTAACATTCATCAAAAGCACTAAATAAAATGGAAAAAAAGACAACTTGGCATGCTCCTAGTGTGTCTCCGAAGTGTTTCCTGAAAATAAATAAATAAAATAAGGGGACACGTCATGTGGTGTGTCTCATACGTGTCCCCGAAGTGTCCGCGTGTCCGACACGGATACGGCACTTGTTTTGAAGTGTCGCTGGTTCATAGTCAGTAAGTAGGGCTCCCTTGGCAGATGCTATTAATTGCTTGAATCATAATAAATCATAGAAGATGCAGTATCCTCTCTACCTTCCAGCTACAAAAGGGTAGCCTTTTGGGTGTCCTTGAGGCGGCTGTCCCTGCAAGCCTTTAACAAGGGAAGTCATATTTCTCACAATTTCTGTATCTTCACTGTAACTCTCGTAACATCTTCCCCATCTGAGATCTTTACATACCTATCGGCATCGATTCAATTCAAATTATTAGCAGGACAACTATTATTCAAGAAAAAAGAATTGTAAGAAAAAAGGACAAGCACACACACACAAGAAAGAGACAAAATAATTCACCTACATCGACATATACAATTAAGCTCAAGGTTTTAAATAACGGTAGTGGTTACCTTAATGGTAACAGTAGTGTTGACGCGATTGCAGGGTGTAATGGCTGTCGCGTAACCGAAATCGTGAATGTTTTAATTCTTCGCAGAGTTTTAGAAAAACATATTGATATGCATGTTTTTATTTCACAATCACATTTAGGCCTCGTTTGGGAAGTAATAATTTTAGCTTAAAAGTTAAAAAGTTACTAAAAAAACCAAGAAGTCTATAACCTATACCAAAAAATCAAAAATTCCATTTTTTCTCTATTTTTTGCACATCTTTTCGTAAAAAATCAAAAAGTCATTCCAAATATACAATTTTTTTCACCTCATATTTTAGCCAAAATTTCAAAAAGTTACTAAAATAACATATTTCCAAACGAGGCCTTAGTAAGGTTCAAAATTTATTTATTTATTTATTTTTGTTTAGTTTTAAAACATGATCCAATTTATATACTAATTTTTATACTAGTTTTAAGTTGCTATATTTTTTGCTTTACTAATTATACTTATGGATAACTTTCAATCTGTGAAGAAAAAAGTGAAGTATGTTTAATATTAAAAATAATAGTCTCATAAATATAAATACAAAATATCAACATAATAATGTAAAAGTACATAACATGAAATCTAAATTTTATTCAATAAATTTAACATAAGAGATATAGATATAAGTTAATATTCAAATATAATTAAATGAAAAAGTCTTGTAGAATTTGAATATTAGACATTCAAAACATGTATAGATAAGATTTTTATTTAAATTTTATGTAACTAAAAAATAGAAATAAAAAATAGCATTATATACAAAATTTTAAAAAATAAATTAAATTTTAAAAAATAGACGCGTAATGGCCATAACAGTGTTGCAGCAACAATGTAACAGCCGTTACAGCCTTTATGTAACGGTGGCGGCCGTTACAGTTGTGAATTTCAGTCACACTGCTATAATGACCATAACCGGTGGCAGTAAGCACCCAACCGTTACGTAATTTCGTTACGTAATTTCGTTACGTTCGTTATGTAATGGTTGCGTAATGGCATTAAGTTACTAAAATTATATACTAGAATTTTCATGTTTAGAAAATATTAGAAGTTATCTCAAATACAAACACAAAGCGAAGAAGAAAGAACCAAACCAAAAGCAAGGTGTTTAATAATTTAATCAGCAAGGCATAAAAACAAATCTAATTTGATGACTTAAAGCAATAAGAATTAGAATTAACAGGACAACTATTTCCAATTCCCATTTTGTGCCCTTCCATTAGCATGATTGCACGTTTCCCTTAATTTAAACAATGACAACATTGTGCCATATAGACGTATCAGATTCAAAGTAAACTAGTGATGCAAAATCACAAACATACCAAGCAAAATACAGACAATTAACATGGTTCAACATAAATCTTTGATACATGGATGATCAATTTGAACCAAAATGAACACAGAATGGTCTGATAATAATCCGATTAAATAATCTAATATAAAAAATTATGAGAACTTACAGCCACACAAGGAGCAAAAGTAAACTGAGCGCCACAAGCCCTAACTTCAAGAGCAGTTGCAACTCCAATCCTCCTAACCAACTCTGCATCTCTGTCACACAAACTAACACTCTCTCAAGCAATGATTCTATAAATAAGCAACAACAATAGTTACATATAATACCTAGTAGCTCCAAGGCCAATGTTGTGAGGAAATACAGTGGCACCATAGACGTTGTTGTTGCCATGAACAGCGTCAGTACCGTAGAGAAGTGGAATCCCGAGGCGAGACTCGAGCGCAGCGTTCTGGAATCTGTCAATCATATCGATCCAATCGGACGACGTTGCTTTCTCGTACGGTCCACCACCGCCGGCGCTGAGAATACTCCCTGAGACATCAATGAATCGAAGATCAAACGAAGAAAATGCATAAAAACAGAGAGAGAGGGGGAGAGAGAGAGAGAGAGACCGACGGAGAGGTCTCGAATGGCGGAACGAGTGGCGACTCGTCGATCGATTTGAGTGATCTGGCCGATCTTCTCGGACAAGGTCATTCGAGAGAGTAAGTCTTTGATTCTGGATTCGATTGGGGAGTTAGGGTTTTTGTAAATGGGATTGTTGTTCATGTTCTTGGCTTTTCTACTACTGCTGCTCCTTTTGTTCAGCTTGAAGAACCAGGCGCTATGGATTGAGAGGTTGGGTGTGAAGTTGCTTCACTGCACTGGTTGACTTCCTTGCGTTTATATAGCTGCTGTTCCGATGTTATCGAGCAACTGTTGCATTGAGAACTCTCGCGTGATGGTTGTTTTTCAAAGATGAACGTTATATGTATTAATTAGTGTATTGATTAATGTATTAATTAATGATATGGTATAAGCGAGCGATCTCTAATATTGTATTTAGGCCTTGTTTGGATGGTAATTATTTTTAAAAAATATTAGAAATTTTATAAAAAATTATTATTAAAGGTCTTATATGGGTGTGTGATTCACATGAATCATATTGTGTAAGTTCCACACCTATGTAACATATTTGGTAATTTTTTTGAGATTTCTATTATTACTCAATTATTTTAGTCAAAAATTTAAAAAATCGCTATAAATTATCAAATAACTTTTTCTATTTTTTTGTAGAAACGCAAAAAATTATTAAAAATAATTTATTCCAAACGAAACCTTAATCTTTCATTAAATTTAAAATTCATAACAAATATTAATCTTTTCAGTTTTAATTTTTTTTATCAAATTCATATAAAATGATGAGATAACAAAAAAAAATTATTAAAATGAAGGAAGCTTTCATTGTAAATCAAAATTTTACAGGTAATCATTGCTTACCAAGAGGCCAGGTGACCGCGTTCGGATCCTCTAGAGTATTTTTTCCTGAAGTGATCTCTAGAGTAGTTCTTTATAGCACGATACCTATCCCACTAGAGTAACCAAGGGCTGAGATCAATTCCTCTTAAAAACGACGTCATTTTGGTGATAGAATTCAAAAAATATATATATATTCCCTCAGTTTTCAGAACGAAACTGTAAGTGAGAGAGAGATGAGGAGGAGGAGAAGGAGAGAGAGGAGGGGTTGAGCAAGAAACCCAGGAGTTCGCCGCCAAAAGCAGTACAAAATGAAAGCCGAAATCTTGATTTTGGTTGGAAAGTAATTAAAAAAACAATTGATGACCCAAATTTTCTGTGGGTTTGATTTCAAATTTTCAAATCTGGGTTTGATGTCAAACAAATTGATGATTCAATTTATTTTTGTTTGAAACATAAAATGAAAAGCAATTAATCTGGCCCCTTTCCCACCTCTCTTTCTCTTCTTCCTCTTCCTTCTTCTTTCCTTCTCATGCCGCCGACCGGCCGCCGCTCCTCTTCTCTCCTCCAACTTAGCTAGCAATCCAAAACCTCGAAAGTATTACAAAAACATAAACACAGGGGCCAACTTTTTAACCAATCGAAACAATAAACAATAAAAGAAGAACATAGAAAACAATGTTCCAACTTTTGATATTCCTGAAGGCATGCACAGAGCAAACCATAGAACAATTCCTGAAGCCAAAACAATGTTCCAACTTTTCTCAGATGAAGAACATGAAGAAGAAAAAAAAGAAGATGAGAGAGAAGAGGGGAAGGAGCAGAGAAGGGGGCGACAGTGGGTGGTGTGGGTTTGGGCAATCTGGAAATCTGCAATAGATTTTTTTTTGGTCCTTTATCCCCCACCAAAACGACGTTGTTTTGATGGGTGATTGATCTCAGCCATCAGCTCCGTTAGTGGGACAGATGTCGTGCTATAAAGAACTACTTTAGAGATCACTTCAGGGAAAAATACTCTAGAGGATCCGAACGCCAGATGACCGGGAGGATCTCCTCCCAAACAACTTGTGTGTCAATCGATTAGAGGGAAATAAGTTTTACTAAGAGCATCTCCAATCCATCCTCCATATCTTCAAATATGGAGGATCCTCTCAAAAAACAACTCCAACCCATCCTCTATATCCTCCTCCATAGGATGAGTTTATCCTCCAAATATAGAGGGAGGATGAAAAAATTGAGGAGACTCTAAAACACTATTCACTCTATATTTCTTAATTATATTCGAAATAACTTTTAATGTGTGAACTTAATTTTTATAAAAATGACATCAATAAAAAGTATAAAATCATACCTTTAAAATGAGTATAATATTAAATATGTTTTACAAAAATTTTTAAATTAAATATTTATTAATGAACAAAAATTACTTTTTGATTGGAGTTTGAATGAAGAAAATGAAGGTTTGTAGTTGGAGTTTGAATGAATAGTGACCTCCTCTATATTTACTTTTTGAATAAAAAATATTATTTCCATCCTCTTGAGAAGAGGATGTGGTTGGAGATGCTGTAACAGTTGACCTCCAGGCCATGAAATATGAGTATTTCGAAAAAATATATCATATCCGTATCGAGTACTTATCGGCGTATGGTATCTCGTATGGTGCTTCTACTACGTATTGGGTAGATGAAATACGTGCTCAAAATTTTTTTTATTAATTTTTTGCGTGTCCAGACGTACCTAATATATACCTAAGTCATACTGTACCTCTGTTGAAATAATATTTTCTTACTATATACCTAAGCCATACTGTACCTCTGTTAATATAATATTTTCTTATACTACAGAAATAAAACTCCTTTCACTATATTTCTTTTTTATTTTTTATTTTATGCTTAGCATGATTTTAAAATTAAACTATGGTTTGTAAGTTGTTTAATATATTGCCATTTAGTTTTGATTTATACTTTTACTTTTGACATTAAATGTTAATTGTAGTTTGGACCTTGACAAATTAAATTATTTAATTAATTTTTTTATTAGTCTAAATTAGAAAAAAAATATTTTTTTTTACAAGCGTATCAACGCATACCTGTAATTTTTTTTTTTTTTTTTGAATTACACCATATCGACGTACTCATATTGTACCAGTACCGGTACTCATACTCGTATCCGTGCTTCATAGCCTCTAGGACATCCTCCCGAACAATTGAGTTTGTAAAAAAATCTTATGAAAATTTAAGTTTTGGCATTGGAGACTTGGAGTAGATGATAACATCAAATTTTTACTCGAATTGATGAAACCTTTGATTCAATGTTAGAGATGCTATAACATAGCGCAATCATATAAAAAAATTAGGATCCTTTTTGGGGGGTGTTTGGGAACTTAGTTTTTGGGGTTTTTTTCACTTCAAGACAAATGTTTTATAAAATCAAAAAAAATAAATCCAAACAAAATATCACATCAAACTCCATAATCATTTCACTTTTTCTCTCATAAATATCACATCCAACCATAAAAAAAACCAACTATCTTCCAAAACACAATTTTTTTTTCTCCAATAATATCCTACAACTAAAAAAACTACAAAAAAATCCATTTCCCAAACACCCACTTTGTGTTTCTATTTTCTATTTTTGTTTTTGTCTTCTTTTTTTTTTAAATATTATTTTCATTTATTTTAAAAATAATTTTTCACGTTATCCTCCCACTCCTACTTCTGGAAAAGGGGTCACTGTTATGCTAAAACTATGGTGTCTCTATTTGAGGTGTATTATGACATTATTTTTATAATCCAAACCATCACTTTGTAAGGTTTATTAAGTACTTCATGCCTAACAAACATCATATTAATCGGATATCAATAACTATATGATCAATAACCAAAAAAATAAATAATAAGTTTTTATTTTGAAAAATAGCATAAACAATATGTAATTCGATCATATAGTTACTGGTATCTAATTAATATGATTTTTGATAGGCACGAAGTACTGAACAAACCCTACAAAATGACGATTTGAATTATAAAAATAAGTCCATAATACACCTCAAATAAAAGCATTACGGTTATTACTATACTTTTAACACAGCACTAACCCATTTTCCTTCTACTACCTCCTGCCACCACCTACCACCACTGATTGCTGGCGATCATTCTTTAGCAACCAGCTAATTATTGTTGTGACTTTTGATAACCTATTGGCAGCCCTTGAGCCACCCGTAAACTTTGGCAATCTTGTGACGACCCTCCTGCCAACTCATGACCTTTGGCCACTTGAGTTTTCAAGGGATTATGATGAAATAAAAATGGAGACCTATATTTACAAAGAAAAAAAAATTACTCTATCGATTAATATAAAAATAGATATTAAAACGTATTCATACAAAGAAAAAAAAGTTTTTAAAATTAGGAAAACTTTATTCAGTTAAAATGTATTGGATGTGAATTGAATTAATTGTAATTTATTGAATATGTTGTTTATAAGTATGGTTACATTGTTGTTTATTGAATATATTATGTATGAGTGTGATTAAGATTGAATTTATTGTTTATTTCATTAAAAACAAAGAAGGTGAAAAAAATTAAGACAAATTTATTTATTCCACTAAAATCTGATAAAGAAAGAAGGTAAAAAAAAATAAAAATTAGGATTCCGATTTCGGGCCACCAATATTTTGTATGTGTATGTAGTATTTTTCATTAAAGGGCCACTAACATTTTGTATATATTTTAATTTCAATTGGACCAAACCACACTCATAAACAAATATGGCCTGACAAAATATTTTTGGGTCCTTTAGATTGGCCCTAAAATAACAAAAATAATTTGAGCCTATTTATATTTGTAATATATTATAATACTTTTCTAAATTTGGAGACCCTGGTTTGTGCCAATTTTTTTGTGCCTACCGCACAGGCCTCAATGGCCTTAGTCCAAGGCCAGTGATGCCTTTGGCGACCAACTTCAGCCACCTCCCACCGTCACTCATCACATCCATACATTCATCCTCAACCATCGGCCACCACTTTTGACAACTAACCAAATATATTTTTCTATTGTTTTAAAATTTGTTTTCAAATTATTTTTACATACCAAACAAGTTTTTTATTTTTGTTTTTAACAAAATAAAACAAAAAACATGTTTCCTGTTTTTTGAAAACATAAATAGGAAACTCACAGTGTTAACAAATGAGTCCTTAATAATTAGAAAGTAAAAGTTAACATATTTTCACTTTAACATAAAAAAACATTTCATTTCAATTTTTAGAAAATCAATTTTTTTTAACTTATTTAAGTTATTTTTACCTAATAAATTACAAGTGAAAGGTGCATCAAACAATTTAGCATACATTCTAAAAATATATATATACACATCTCACATAAATTATAACAAACAACTCTATTATTATTGAGTATTATATTTGTAAACAAAAACTTCCAATATTTACTATTTATAAAACTACAAAATACAGCATTAAGAAATTCTCGACAATGGCTTCTTCCTATGAAGCTTTAGCAAATTTCAGAGGTCAAAATGCAAAACATTAAGAACCAAAATCAGAGGACTTCTGATTTCTACCCATCTCACTATTTCCTGTGAACAACAATTGATTAGCTGACTTACTCTGGTCAATCAGTACTTTTGGCTCCAAAAGAAGAAAAAAAAAAAAAAAAAGGCTCGGAACATGACATTTTCAACCTTTTCAAATCATGCAGGCTCTTCTCTGTATTTGTTTTCTGCCTCTGTGTTGTGATCATTTCCTCATGATCCCGATGGTTTTAAAGTTGTGGTTGACAGATTATGCTACTAAACATCATCTTTAATCAAATCTTTGGTTTTGCCTTTGCTTTTTTCTAGATGGTCCAATCCATCACTGCCCTGACCAGTCTTGGGCATGACATTCTCATGATCAATTGATTTTCTATTGTCTTCAGTATCTTTGGTGTTGTGTAACTCATCATTCCTCACCGTAGGTTCAGATTCAGTCGGTTTATTGGATTTGCCTTCATCATTTTCGATAGTACTTGAATCAACTACTTCTTCCTTTTCTGATTGTTCAGCAAAATCCACTGATCTCATTAATCTTTGGGATTCAGCTTCAGTGTCACCAAGACTAGATCCCAAGTCCTCCTCACTAACCTTGGCATTGAGTACCAACTCCTTCTCATTGGAAATTATATTGTCTTCCCCAATTGACCTCCCCGGATCAGCTCTAGACTGTTCCTGTCCAGTGTCACAAAGTTACAAATGTGAATCTATTATCCCTATCAATTAACAAAATCAATTTTTTTTCTTTATTATTATAAAAAAGTTGCATAAAAAATCAACTACCATGGAGGCAACAAATAAATAAAAATAAATATATGAAGCGAAATAAACTATAATTAAGTATAGTTGTTTACTATATGTCGGCAATGAATCTTCTGTCCCCAAATCCGTATGTCCTTTTGTCTCAATGCACTCCCAACTATTTGTAAACATACATAGTATTATAATACTTAGTATATTTACACATTCCATGACCCTACAGCTGAGAGTATATTGAGACAACGGGATTTAGGGACAGAGGATTTTGAGCCACTATATGTGACAGTAGCATAGAGATAACTAGGAGCTTATATGCTAAAGATGGAGAAAAAGAAAATTAACTTTAGTGTAATTAAAAATCTCTTTGGTGTAAGATAGTTTTAAGATTAAGTATATTTTTCATGGCTTAGTACCCCCATCCCTAAACCTTTGAACTTTTGGTTGCAACCAGAGAGCAAGAGAAAAGATACTACTTTATATTCTTCAATTAACAACACACACACAACAGAACCAACTGTTCAACATCATTTTACCTCTCTTTCTTTAGAATTTAAAGAAATAATTGAATCGTCAATTTGATCTTCTGGTTTGGATAGACAAACATCATTTGCTTCAAACGCAGTCAAATTTTTGGATTTGCCTTCAACAACTTCACTGGCTTCGAAGTTATCTTTGCTGTTAGTTGGCATTGATGGGCCTCCAACATCATTAGATTTCATTGATTCTTCAAACTCTGCAATTCTTTTACTGGTTCCTGAATTCTCATTTGGTTCCATTGGTTTTGACTTGCCAATAACATCTCCAGTGTTAGTCAATTGTTCAAGTCTGCCTCCAGGACCTTCAATATTGGTTACATCAGACGGTGCCATTGGATCAGCAAGAGCCTCCTGCTTGATTAATAATTTTTGCTGCCCTTCGTCTTCTTCAACAGATTTTGAGTTCAATTTTTCTTCATTCTCATTACTCGTTGAATCGTTTATATTACAATTGAGACTGTCTTCTTTGGTGGACTTCCCATGAGAATTGGGTGGTTCCTGTTAATTGCCACAGGAATGCATATATTAGTTTATCTATCTTTTTTTTCTTTTTGCACAACGTAATATGTGCAATTAGTTAAATACACGTGATCTCGTTAACACATCAAAAAATAAGAAGGAAGAAAATAAAATTTGAACTGATAGAAAAATTTGAGTGGGCTTGTCCGTGATTGTGTGTGTGTTGAGAGAGAGAGAGTGCAACCAGGGGCGACGCCACAGCATAGCTTGTGGTGTCACTTGAACCCCCTCAATAGAAGAAAAAATTTATTTTACTTTGCATATAATTTTTGTTTTAGAAATGTGTTATCATAACTGACCCCACTAAAAATGTGACTTTGAACCCACAAATTTTTAGGCTTATTAATTATTTACAAATCAATTTCAACATATCACATTGTACCAAACACTATTAGAATAAAGGAAATGGAATGATTATTCTATCAAAATATTCATTGCTATGTTTGGTTGACTAAATAATTAATGAAAATTACATTACAAATGGAATAATTATTCACTATTGTAAGGGAATGATCATTCCATAAGGAAGCTAAATGAATGATCATTACATTCCATTTTATCTCATTCCAATAGATCAAATAAAGCATTACAACTTATTCAAAGCATTTTAAGCATTAATATAAAACTCCATAATTTTAAAAGCTAACTTTTATGTTTTTTTCAAGTGGGACATTGAACCTACATAAAAATTAATCTTGGCTTATTTTTTTCTTTAAAATATTTTATAATATAAAATACAATATATATTTTTTGTTTTCGTTAGATATTTTTGCCTTTCAATTGACACCATTGACTTAAATTCCTAGAGTCGCCATTGAGTGCAACACAGTAATTATTGTTAACAAGCATAAAGATATATGGCCAAAAAAACTCCCAAGCCTCAAAGTGGCTTTGTTCATGTTTTAACTATCCTAGATGGTATTGACTAACCTGCAAATTGCCTGTTGAATCTTCCATCAAATGCAGTGCATTTTTAGGCATAGTCGCTGTTAAATTTTCTGGTGGAAACCCATCCAACAGATTATTTTCTTCCATCTCTGTTTCAGATTGTGGGACCCCCCTGTGTGTCTCCTGATCAAAACTTGATATGGAGGCTTGATCAATAGGGAAATTTTCCTGTAACACAGACTTGGGTGACGAGGATGAACTTGTGATGATGGGAACATGTTCAACCATGATTTCTGGCATCAAAGCTGGTAGACTGGGATCACTAATCAAACTTTGGTTAAACCCAAATAGTCCACTTTCTGCAGTTCCTGTCAGCATAACCGATGCAATGGGTCCATCAGTACTTGGGCAAACCCCATATATTCCAATTTCTACAATTTTTTGTTCACTTTCTTCAGGTGATTCCAAAATGTCATTGTTCTGAACTGAGTTTGAAGTCACTGCTATATTTTCAAAGTCAGCCTGATTTGAATGCTCTCCTTCATAATCATTCGCAATTGGTTTATATGACTCCAACATGTTTTGATCTTCACCCCTTTTTCCAGATTGGCCTTCAATATACTCAATGTCAATAGAATTTGATATTCTTTCCTCAGGTATTCTTGAGAGGGCCCCTGCATTTGCTTCCTTGGGCAATATGTGGGATTCACTATTTACGTCATCGATGGTTTTCAAATTTCTCATGTCATCATTGGCAGGGACTTCTGAATCATTCACACCGGAAATGGAGTTCAACTCCTGGGTAGACTCTTTAGGAGGATTAGATGGTTCCTGTTCAAATCATAACACGTACAAATCATCAATTTTTGGATCTTGATTTTCTCCTCTTCTTATTCTCTTTCTCTCACACGCATACAATCATTTTTAGCATATATAAGACATTATATGCATTAAGATTGGAAACAGAAAAATAAAATATTGATTTTGCAAAAAACAAATTACCAGAACTGAGCATTACCAACGTACCTGGCCATCTAAGATTCTTCTAAATTATGATAATTGTGATATTTTAAGTGCAAGTTTTACACTAACAGAGATATTAGTTACTGCTGACAAATTAAGCGGTTCATCCGCAGGAAACGCTAAAAACAAAATAATCTATAAAATGGTCCTGTTTTTCTTTTGTTGTTATTGTTTCATTTGAACTTCTCAAGCTTCAGCAAGTGATTTGCTTACAGAGATTTACAAACTAACATATCCACTGTTTATTATTGTAATGTTGACTAACCTATACTTTTTTAGATCTCTATTATCAGAAGGTAGGCCACTCAACCCTCCAAATAACTCCATTTTTATGCACAATCGGGTTAAACTTTCAGGTAGTTGTTCATCCAATAAATCCAGTGCATCATGGTGTGGGATGCATGTGTGAGTGTGAGAGAGAGAGGGAGGAAGAGAGGGAACGAGGGAGAGAAAGAGAGATTAACCTGTGAAAAAGACAGTGCAGTAATATCTAACATACTAAAGAGAAATACAACATTCATAGTGTCTGATCTCCTCGAGTGTTAAACTGTCTTGGTGTACATTTTAATTATGCTAATTACTGCAGAACAATGACTAACCTGAAGTTCTTTATGATCTTTATCATAAGATGGGTTAGCTGTTGAATCCAGTGACAAATTCAATGCATTTTGAGGGGCCAGTGGAGTTAAATTTTCAGGTAGCAAATTGTCCAACGAATTAATTTCTGCCATCTGTTCATCAGAATTTTGGACCTTTAGGTGCGTCTCTGGATCAGTGCACGATGAGGAGGTTTGCTCAATTGAAGCCATTTTGTGTGAGTCATATTTAGGAGACAAGGATGAACTTAATGGAATAGGAACTTTTTCAACCATCGATTCTGGCAGCATGGCTGATGGAATGGGATCGTTAGAACTCTGGCTAACCCCAGAAAAGCCAACATCCATAGCACCTCGTTCACATTCTCTATCTTGAATTGATTCCGATATGTCCATTTTCTCAATTTCCCTTGATGGGGAGTCCTTAAGTTTAGCTTTCTTTTCAAGCTGTGCTTCAAAATCTTCAGATGACTTCGAATTTACGTTTTCTTCAACTGGTTTATATGACTCCGAGAAGGTCTGATGGTCTCCCTGTTGTTCATATTGGACTTTATCAGACAAAATAGGTTTTAAAATAATTTATTCGTAAGGTTTTTAAATTGGTTTCTTCAATACCCGTCTTTAATGATATTTGTGTTGTTTCAATTGATCAACGACACTTAAATCTGTTAATTCCTTACTTGTATGAATATTTTAGGAGACTGATGCACACTAAAATGTAACAATATGAAAGAAACAAGGGAAAGGGATATACTATTCTGCATGATGCAACTTTCTTTTAACCTTTTATGTTTTTTATTTATTTTTTTTGTTTTGTTTTGGGTAGTTATAGTTACAAAAATAAAGCTTTTGAAGCCTTAGTAATTGTCTACCATCGTAGTATAATCATTTACATTATCATTATTCATTATGGTTGTGTTGACTTACCTGAGGTTTTTCAAGATCTCTATCATTAGACACTGTTAGAATTGAGCTTTCAGGCAATAGTTTATCCGAAAAATTATTCTCTACCATATCTGCACTTGATTGATGGTCCTTCGTTTGTGTTGTGTGATCAAAATCTGACAAAGAGACTTCACTAATTGGAACGTTTCCCTCTGTCACAGAAGTGGGGGACAAGGATAAACTTGAATCAGGAGGACCTTCTTTGGCTATTATTTCTGGCTGCATTACTGATGCAATTGGATCAGTAGAATTCCAGTTATACCCAAAAGATCCAACATCTACAACACTCTGTTCATCTTCTCTATCTTGGATATTCTTATTCCCAATCAAATTTGATCCCTGTTCACTTTGCCTTTTGAATTCTCCTTCAATACATTCAGTAGAATCTGAATGATCACTTTCTGGAAGTCCATAATCACCTTCGGTAATCTCAGCAGGTTCTGTATTGTTCATGGTACGAACTGACAGGTCCTCTGGAGCCTCTTGCTTGGTCAAGATGGGGGCTTCACCATATGTGTCTTTGATAAATTCCATGATTTCTCTGTCATCTTTTGCAAAGACTACTTGATCATTCATATCGTGAATGATATCCGCCTCCTGGGTAGATTTCTCTGGTGAATCAGATCGCTTCTGTTTAGTGTCATGATAAGAACAATGATTAGTCCAATTACCATTTCTATTTTTATCTTTCATACAAGCACATCATATACACAACAATTCTAAACAATTGTATGCAATAACATTAAAGAAAAGATCATTTTTTTTTATTTTTTTTGCCAGATGATTATGCTCTTTGGGTTTTTGTTTCCCCCTACAAGTAAACACAGTCGAAATGTGCTTGAATTGTGCCACATTACTCTTGAATTTGCTCTATTAGATGTAAAAAATTGACTGACCTCTGGTTTTCCAGAATCAATATGGTGAGATGGGTGAGCCTGTAATTTCTCAGTTGATTGTTGTGCATTTTCTAGTGTTGACAAAGCCAATTTTTCAGTTGACAAATCCTCTGAAGAACAAGCACTCGGTGGTTGGACCTCATCATGAGCTTTGCCATTCAAAACCATTAAATGGGCTTGACTGCCATCAGGTAATTCAGTTTTTGAAGGTGACACACTTGTGTCAATGGAATCTTGTTCAACTACAGAATTGACACAATGAGATGGGCGAACCTCTGTTTTCTCAGCTGATTGTTGTGCATCTTCAAGTGTTGATGAAGCCAATTTTTCAGTTGACAATTCCGCACTTGGTGGTTGTGCTTGGACCTCATCACGAGCTTTGCCATTAAAATCCATTAAATGGGCTTGACTACTCTCAGGTACTTCAAGTTTTGAAGATGACACACTAGTGTCTATGGAATCTTGGTCAACTACTTTTTCTGGCAACATGTCTGATTCAATGAGATCCTCAGATTTCTTGTTGTTTCTTGAAAATCCGACTTCTATAAGATCTTGCTGACTAACCTCATGTACTCCTCTTGATCTAGACTCATTTTCGTCCACTTCGGATAGCTGAGACGAGGCGACCCACACTTCCTCACCGCCACAAGTGGTCTGCTTGTCCAAATCCACATCCCCATCAGACATCAAATGTTCTCCATCCGAAGGTGAGATGGTTTCATCAACTGTCAACGTAGGTGAACCAATGTCTGACACCTCCACTTGCAAGTCAGAGGCTATGGAATGTGTACGATTGTGATCATACCCATTATCTGCACAAAAAAAGCGTTCCCCCCGTCCTTTCTTCTCAAATGAAGATGGAATGCCGTCATATAAAAGCTCATTTCTTGAAGCATTATTCTCTCTATCTATGTTCTTCCGAATTGAAAAACTGAGGGATTTTAAGATTTGTTCTTTGTTAGCATCGGAGAATGGCGGATTCATATCTGATGAAGATGATGAGCTTGACTCACCACTGGCATCTCTGACTAAGTTTGACTCTGTGTCAACTTCACTCCTATCATCTTCATGATGAATGTCAAATACTTGTTCAGAGGCTTGGCCTTGTTGTGTGTCAAGATCACGAGAACTGTTAATGTGCATCATGGACTCACCTTCTTGAGATGATTCTGGTTCAATTTGCTTGCTGGGATCTTCCTTACCTGCATGGCAAATTGGCAACATATTGACTCATGTTTGTATAGCACACGAAAAACCTCTGTTTTCTTTTTGAAAAATTAGAAACTATTTTCACATAAATAAACACAAAAAAAGATAATCTTTAATTTGCAAATATTATTTTTGCCCCAAAAAATTTAAAAATACATGAGAGTTTTTTTAATAATGTTTTTCACCGAACTATTTTTTGATTTTTTTTTTTATTTTAGAAAATAGGTGTAGGAGGTGGGGGGAGAGGGATTTAGACCTCATTTACCTGATTGCTTTCTTATTCCGGAGTATTCAGGTATCTCGGCAACCCTATGCTTGGTATCAAAATTAGGACAATAAAAAGTTTCACGCCGACTTTGATCAAATTCTACTGGCCCCGGGAAGAAAGCCCCCAAACTGAAGCTCTCGTGTCTGCAAAACATCATGTCCTTTTGGGGAGCGGCCACAAACTCTTCTTCAAAATTGTCCTCCATGAGATTAGGTTTTTCCTCTTCAGGATCATAAGGAAGGTCGAAAGGGTTATGCATTGGCAACAAAACAGATGGAGCTGAACCAGGGGTGGGTGAAACCGCAGCCTCACCAGAACTATTAGGAGGGAAATGGTTAACTTTTGGTATGAGAATGGAAGCGATTTGGCTACAAGGATCATTGCTACCCATGTTCATCAATGTCCTTCTGACCTGTATACTCAACAATTTCCTTGCTCTTCGCTTCGCAATTAGGCTCTCTAGCCTCTTGTTCCTTTCCATCTCTGAAATCCCGAGATCCATAAGATTTTTCTGATCAACCTCGGTCCATTCTACAGCCTTGTTTCCATCCTCTTGTGCCTCTTCCTCATCTTCATCTTCCGCATCATCTGAACTTTCAACCTCTAACTCACCTCCACCGCCATTGGATTTGTCACTCATTCCTTCAGATACATTGCCACGTCCAGGCATTGACCCTTGAGAAGCATCAATCAAACTCTCAGCACGATCAATCACAGAATCCACTTTCACTTCTCGTATTTCTTTCGCGTTTTCCTCTATCAGAGCAGCTTTATCAACCAAATCATCATTGGAAATAGCTGAAAACACCATATCTTTTTCTTCCACACCCTCCTGCATAAACACTTGTTTGTCTTTCTCTTTGACATTTCGTCGTATAACTGGTAGGGGTTGTGTGGAAGAGTTTTCTACTACGATATTGTCCTCAACAAAAGTCGGTTTCTGGGAAGGAATCCCTTTTGCATTTCTTAAATTTTGTTGATGAATACGGAAAATGAGTCTAAAAACCACAACAATGAAGATGAGAATCGGCAAAGTGTAAACTAGAAAGGTGAAAACAGGAAGAAGAAACATGTACAGAATGGAAAAGAACAACAAAATACCCGAAAAAATTGGGTATTTCTTTGCAAATGTACAAGAAGATACAACAAAAAAATGAAGAACTCTCCATATACAAACTTGTATGTTCTTCACGTCAAGACCCATCTTTATTTCTCTAAATTGATCTACTTTCTCATGTATTGATCTTACTCTTCAAGAACAATGCTTGTAATGGAATCAAACTAATCCAAATACATTGTAACTAACAAAATTATGCATTGAAAAAACAAACAAAAGCAATGTGGAGAAAACTTTTACTTCACATAAAAATGGAAACCAATCAAAATGGCTGGTTTTTCTTTGTTTTGTTTCTGATACTAGTGATTTGGGTTGGTAATTTTTAGAAAACTTTTTTGTTTGGCGGACAGTTTAAGTAGATCCTGCAATTTAGGATTTGTCTACCATTTTTTTGTTCCTGTTTTAATGGGATCCATCTTTGAAGTGGCAGTTGAAAGATGGATATAAAAAATTAAAAAATGCCAAAATTAGAATGTAGGTACCCATGAGAAGTGGCGTTGGTTGTTGATTTTAAAATGTAGTAGATAGAGTAGCAGTTTGCGCACGGTTGCTTGTTTTCCAAAAAGGGCTGGGTTTGCCTCCGGTCTATCTGTTGTTTGGACATGTGGGATTTATCCATCTAATAAGAGCATCAGTGATGTGGTAATTTTAAAAATAAAAAATAAAAATAAAGGTCAAAATATCAAATTATACAGTGAGACTCATAAGTTAGAGCTCTTTTAAAACTCACAATTTAGAGGTCTCAATCATTTTTCGATTTACAATGGATCACAATAGTTTAAATCATTTATTTTGTAGAGTTTTTCTTATATATTGTTTATGAATTTTTTTTATGTTAATCTTTGTATTATATTTGTCTAAAAAAATTGATGATATTTTTTCATAATCAATATACACAAATGATATGTAATGAAATAAACCGTAATTATCGAGGACGGATAACTTTTGACTTCTATTTTTTTTCAATTATCAACTTTTTACAAAAGCCTTTAAAAGCGCAGTTGGACACCAAATTCCTACAATTGAATAGATTTAGGGATTGTTTGGAGTGTCTTAAATAAGTATATTTTTTATCTTTTTGAATTAAAAAATTAAAAAAAAAATAGATGTTTGGGTTAATTTTTTGTCTTTTACGAAAAAAAGTATAATAAAAAATTGTATAAATAAAGTGTATAGTAGAAGAAAGTTGACAGAGCTATACGGCTGCCCTAGCATGTCTTACACATAAAATAATTGCCTCCTTCGGGGCAAAGTGTTTGGATAGTGATAGTCGGTCTGTGGAGCCACCATGGGTCCCATTTTACTAATCTGAACCGTTCAATATGTACAACTCGTCGAGTGTTATGTGCCTGTAAAAAATTACGTTGATCGGATATCGATAGCTATATGATTGGATCAGATATCTTTCAACAGTTAACTATCACACCATCCATTTTATTTATACAAAACTGATTTGATCATATAGTTAACGATATCCGATTAACGTGATTTTTTACAGACATATATTACTCGACGAGTTCTACATATTAACGGTTTGGATTATCAAAACGGAACCCTTAGTGGGCCCCCAATGGCCCAACATTACCATCAAACTTTGTGGCTTTACATATGTAATTTTGTTTTTTTTGTCCAAAAATTATATAATGGCTTGATCTCTATCGCAAGTGTGTGGGTCATTTTCTGACCACACTGTCTACCTAGTAATCAGCTGGAGAGCACCGGCAGAATAGATGACTTCAGTGAACCTGCAACAGAAAGAAAAGGCTCCGGCGGTGGCTCTTCCACCTGGGGGCACTCCGACGATCAAGTCAGTATATCTCTCAGAGATAATCAAGTGCTAAACTTACAAGCTTGAGTATAAAACTGCGTACCTTAGACCCACGGGGGTGCCTCTCTTTTATAGTTTACTCAACTCAAGTCCCACTAGAAGTCTGACTTCTATGGACTCCAATTCAATGTCAACTTTGGACTCTTCAAGGGATAAAGATAAACTCCCTAAGAGTTTTATCCTTATCTTAGCAAAGTCTTCTCTTTTACCTAGGACTCTTCTCGGGGTCACATATCTCGGGTTCAATAACTACAAGTTTTACTTCGGCAAGATACTGACCTGCAAACTTTTCATAAGTTTCAACAAGTGTAAAACATATACTATTCAATGTCAATTTTGCAAACTTTTTTCCAAGTTTCAACAAGTATTTAAACAGTGATCTCGGTCTAACCTACTTGTAAACTGGGCATTCTGAGGTGATGGAACCTATATTTGTATTTTCTTCCAGTACCTCAGCGTGAGAACTCTTCGGCCGAGATCATTCATTTTAGGCCGACATGCCTTCATCAGAGAACAAGAACTCAAACAAATTCCCTCACGCGCATGAGTTGTCATGCATTTCTTTTCAATCGTTCCCCCTTCGTGTTCTATCGTCATTGGCCCGTGTCTGTGACGCGCTTGTAAGCCGTCTTTCACCTGTCTGCGCCGTCTGATGCATACGTTCCTCCAGGCGCAATAAATGCCCTGTTTTGCCGTCATTTCAAGTTTTTGATAAAGCTTTTCTTTCCATTTTCATTTCTTTACTTTTGCATTTCGATTTTCTGGCTCTCTCTCTCTCTAAACTTTCTCAAAACCCGCCATTGCTCTAGCTCCAAGCTCTGCAACCGTCTTCATTCTTCCATTCCAGTGAAGCTTTCGTCGTCCCATCTTGTCTGCAACCGTTGCCTTACTTCGGCGACTTTCATCTCGGCTTCATTTGTTCTGGTAAGTCTCTGTTCCTCTCATTCCCAATTTCTTCTATGTACTTTTGTTTACTTACTGCCATTATTGCTCTATTCAAACCTTCGTTTTGCTGAACTATTTATCTGGATGCGCCTATTCCATGATTTCACTCATATTTTGAACATTTGCATTGTTTCAATACTTTTCTTGCCACTGTTCTTGACCTTTTACTTCTGTATTTCTTTCGCTTTTGAGAACCATACCTCTGTTCTTTGTTTCTGGAACGTCGTTCTTTGTTTCTTGTTTTCTAGATTTTTGCCTTTAATTTTTGCTTTCAATCTTTGCCTCCATAGATTTAGTTTTGGGTATTGTCTATAAAACCTTCAATTTTTAGAGAAAACTGAAACAACCCTTACCAGTATATTCCTAGGGTTTTGCCAAGGTCCCGATAACCCCTTAAGACCACCTTCTTTCTGAAACCTAGCTTTCTGTCTTTAGGCCGACGTTATGGGTATGTGGAGACATAGGGTTGATACCCCGTCCAAACTTGAGTACTTTAGGCAGGAGTTCTCCGTCCCTGCCGATGTTCACCTGAAACTGGCTGGGGATGATGACTCCATCATGCCTACCGAAAACACCATGCCTCTCCCTATTGTAGCCTTTACTGAATGTGGACTTCGGCTTCCACTTAACATTCTTTTTCGCGAGATTCTGCACTATTATAAGCTAAACCCTATGCAACTTGCTACAAACTCCTATCGAGTGATTTTTGGTATCATCGCCTTAGCCAGACAAGAAAACGTTAGAATCACCCTAGCCGACATACAATATTGTTACACCATGTGCCCCCTTAGCCTGAAGGAAAAAGGTTACGTCTACTACCTCAAGCCGAGGTCTACTAAATTCAAAATCGTAGCCGACCTCCCAGACTCTAACAAGGGAGCTGGAGATGACTACTTCATTGTCTCTGGAAATTGGGAATTTGCTCCAGACGAAGATGTCCATCTATACCCTCTTCCTCGAACGGTTAAAGAGGGCAAGGGTAAGAGCCCAGTCTAAACTTTCTCAAAACCCGCCATTGCTCTAGCTCCAAGCTCTGCAACCGTCTTCATTCTTCCATTTCAGCGAGGGTTTCGCCGTTTCGTCGTGTCTACAGCCGTTGCCTTACTTCGGCGACTTTCATCCTGGCTTCATTTGTTCTGGTAAGCCTCTGTTCCTCTCATTCCCAATTTCTTCTATGTACTTTTGTTTACTTACTGCCATTATTGCTCTGTTCAAACCTTCGTTTTGCTGAACTATTTATCTGGATGCGTCTATTCCATGATTTCACTCATATTTTGAGCATTTGCATTATTTCAATACTTTTCTTGCCACTGTTCTTGACCTTTTACTTCTGTATTTCTTTCGCTTTTGAGAACCATACCTTTGTTCTTTGTTTCTGAAACGTCGTTCTTTGTTTCTTGTTTTCTAGATTTCTGCCTTTAATTTTTGCTTTCAATCTTTGCCTCCATAGATTTAGTTTTGGGTATTGTCTATAAAACCTTCAATTTTTAGAGAAAATTGAAACAACCCTTACCAGTATATTCCTAGGGTTTTGCCGAGGTCCTGATAACCCCTTAAGACCACCTTCTTTCTGAAACCTAGTTTTCTGTCTTTAGGCCGACGTTATGGGTATGTGGAGACATAGGGTTGATACCCCGTCCAAACTTGAGTACTTTAGGCAGGAGTTCTCCGTCCCTGCCGATGTTCACCTGAAACTGGTTGGGGATGATGACTCCATCATGCCTACCGAAAACACCATGTCTCTCCCTATTGTAGCATTTACTGAATGTGGACTTCGGCTTCCATTTAACATTCTTTTTCGCGAGATTCTGCATTATTATAAGCTGAACCCTATGTAACTTACTATAAACTCCTATCGAGTAATTTTTGGTATCATCGCCTTAGCCAGACAAGAAAACGTTAGAATCACCCTTGCCGACATACAATATTATTACACCATGTGCCCCCTTAGCGTGAAGGAAAAAGGTTACGTCTACTACCTCAAGCCGAGGTCTACTAAATTCAAAATCGTAGCCGACCTCCCAGACTCTAACAAGGGAGCTGGAGATGACTACTTCATTGTCTCTGGAAATTGGGAATTTGCTCCAGACGAAGATGTCCATCTATACCCTCTTCCTCGAACGGTTAAAGAGGGCAAGGGTAAGAGCCTAGTGTTTTTTTTTTACTTAGTTGTTTCTTTTCAAGTCTTCAATATCTAATCTGTTTCTAATGTTTGTTTCTTTTTGCAGACGTTCGTAAGTTACCGAAAGACTTTCGCCAATCCTACGTTCTTAGCAAGGATCTGAAAAGGCTCATGGACTTGCCTGTCCACAAAAGAAAAACACCTCTCCTTCTGAACTTTATTCCGACATATAAATCCACACTGCCCGACGTCCCAAAAAGAAAGAAGAAGAGCCTATCTCCTCCCTCTGCTACCACTCTACAAACAGTATCAACATCTCGGGCAGACCAAGGATCAACCTCTAATCCAGCCGACCAACCATCAACTTCAGCCCCATACTTAATCCCAATACCAGAAAGAAAGCGTCGGCGACGACTCGTCAAAACTGCTGAGATGGGTCGCCCGAAGTCTGTTGCCCAAGATCTCCTAGCCGACCTTCCCACGGATGTTGACGCTCAACCGACGCAAACCATGCCCCCACCAAAGCCAAAAGGAATAAAAAAAGCTCAGCCCAAGGCCAAAGCTACTGAGGTTGAGGCTGAGGATGCTCTGCCCATCTCTAAACTGGCTGAGAATAAGAAGACTTCTTCTACTTCTGCAAAAAGGTCTGCTGAAAACCCACCCTCTGAGTCCACACAGACAAAAAAAACCAAGATC